TCATGCTCATTGCTTCAGTGATGCTATCTAACCATCTCATCCTCTGCCATCCTCTTCTCCAGTAGCCCAAACAGTAGGTGATTAAGGCATGAGGGTTCATGAGCAGTAGTCTCATTCTACTATTAATACATTTAGAATCTATCTACAATTACTTATCTGCACTAGTGCTATCAGCATGCAGCATCTTCAAGCCATTCCCAGCATCCTAATTGGAATCACCACTCTTCTCACAACTGGCTTCCTAACCCAACTGTATTAGGCAGTTTGGAGCTACCAAGGGTCCCAATGGGATTTCAAGACATTATTGCATATTAAGCCAGTGGCTCCAAAGTACTTAGCATTGATCCTAGTTTTCCCCCACTAACATTAGAGCCTACTGAGCCATACCTACATAGGAAAAGGGCCACTAGAGAGTTCAATATATAGCCAATCCTAATTATAATGCATAATTATAAAGTTCTGAGATCTCCATAAAACAGATATTTATTATTTAATTTGATTGATTTAATTTTACTTGCAAATGAACAACCAACCCAAGATAAACTAAAGAATTAGATTCCCTCGCTATATTGGAAGTGCGACACATCATGCTCATAACATTTATATACAAGCTTTTTTATTTCATACAGAAACTGTGGCTAAGTTACTTGGCTTGTCACTGCAATACTTATCCTTTATTTTACAACCTATTTCAAGAAGCACATCACCGACAGTAGGAAAATAAAAAATCCCATATTCATTTCTAAAGTAATAATGAGAAAACCTAAACACCTAAAGCCACATGCTTTGAATTGATATCTTATATCTCAAATTATCATAAGGTGAATTAAGTAGTTATTGAACCATATATTAATTTTATAACTGAAATAAAATTTGTATGGGAAAGAGCTTATGCAACAATATATGAAGCTTGGAAAGTGAAGTTAAAAATGGTATTTGGCTAGAAATGAAGTACCATCTTCTAGAAAGAAGCCCTCTTCAGAGAAGCAATCCACAAGCTGCATAGCTGATATATGTCAAGATATCCAGCTCCTCCCATAACCAATGGTTGTTTAAGGTTTAGTGACTCATCTAGGTGGATCTCCTGATGCATAAACTGATGCGCATGCTAACTCAAAATAATCAAGTGTTTTGTGTGACCATTTATGATTGTAATTTGTGTAACGTCCCATAACCTCTGCAAGGCAATACATTTCACTATGACTTTTTTTAATGACACAGAATACAATCAATCTTAACTACCTCCTTTCTGAAGCCTCTCTATAGACCAGCAATGGTGAGGCTATGACAAGTATGTCAAAAGTGACATGCCACAACTTTTTGGGTGTCACGCCAGCATTTACCAACACCCAACAACTATTCTTCCTGTTTGAGTTACCAAAGAAACTGAGTTTGTTTTACTCATATTTCATTTTTGTAATTATTTGATGTTTCTTTATATAATACATAGCATCACCCATGATTGGACTGTATTTTTTTTAAATAAATGAATATGTAAAGAATTTTTTCTCTTTTGTTCGGGGGGGGGGAAGGGTGACACACCAGCAGAGTCAAGTTAGCCATTTTCCGAATTTCTGACATGCCGAGCCCAAAAGATTCACCATCACTGCTATAGACCATTCTTCCCCAACCTTGGGTCCTTCAGATGCATAAAAACTGCAAGTCCTAGAATTCCCAATCAATCAGGCAAATTTTTAAGAATTCTGGGATATGTTGTTCTGCCATGTCTGGAGGGCACAGGACTAGTGGAAGTTAAGCTATGAAGACTAATGATTAAACATAAAGCAGCGCATAAAGATACTGTGTAGCTGTGTCACAGAAGGAGAAATCAGCACTCACCTTTTCAAGCTCTTGAACCTTTTTTTCCTCCTGGATCTGTTTGGCTTGCTGTTGCTTCACAAATTGCATGCTAGCTATCTTACTTTCCAGAATCTTGGCTTTGTTTTGAAAGCTGTCTGAAATCTGTTGGAGTGACAGGTCTGCCTGGCGTGGTACTAGTGTTTTGAGTCGCTGAAATGAAATGAGAGAGATATATACGTTCAAAGATATATGTGACACAGGAAGGAACATAAGAAGCTTCTTTGTCCTGGATTGGTGGATTTAATCCATTCTAGAGGAGCTCATCTGCAGTTCCTTTTCCAGGAGAGAACTTTTACTGGGACATACCGAGGTTGAGACATGCACAGGCATGTTTACTTTTTAGCAAGGCCTTGCTGCTTGTGGAGCACCTCTTCATACTGCTTTTTAGTGAAGCAAAGTGGCCCTGTATGTACTACCAGGAGCAGTTTCCTATGCTCTGGCTGCTTTAATAATTCAAGGAGGTCTTCCAACCAGCTTCTCTGTGTCGCAAAGGGCCACTTCTGAAGGATTGCTGCAAGCACATTAACTATATGAGCCTCCTCCAATCTGGTGGTTTCTAGATGTGCTGGAGTATGGTTCCTATTATTCTCAGCAGTATCACCATTAGTCCTGCAGACAGTGAATTCAGGGAGCTGTAACCAATACATCATGAAGGTACTTGGAGCTGTAGCCAATATGTCTATAGAGTGCCAGATTGGAGAAGTCTAGTCTATGTTGACCATCAATAACTCCCAAGGGTTGTAAACTAGAGTTCTTTTATCTCTACTTGGAGATGCTGGCCAGTATTTGGGATTTTCTACCTGCAAAAGAATATGCTCTAGTTTTCTTCTCTTCAACATATGTGTTCCTAACCACAGGAATCGTAGGAATCTGAGAATTCCTCTAATGCAAAGGAAATGTGTCTAAACACTGTTATCTTTGCTTTAATTGTTTCCCTCAAAGCATTTTTCCTTATTGTTCAACAACAACAGAACGTTGCAAAAACCTATTTAATTTCTCCTGAGGCATTATCATCATCATGTTTTTTATAATGTAATTTTCATTATTAACTGCAGCTAATGTTCGAGAAAGGTCTCTAAAACAAATTCAGTAGTGGTGAGAATATTTATTATTACACTGGTTTGTGTCAGCTAAGATGGAAACTTAAAATAAAAATTGCTATTTTTATTATATATTCGTAAACGTTTCTTTGTTCTGTGCTTTATGTGACATAACCTAGGACTATAAATACAATCTTCTATTACATTCCCTGACACGCTGTTATATATTTGGCCAAAAAAGAATGCCAACTATATTCACCCATGTTTAATGGATGAAAGCTCTTTATCATTCCAGAATGACCTTTTCCATTCTTCTGCTCTCCAGAAGTGTTAACTTCAGAGCTGTTGTTGAATCCTATTCAAAAGAATGGCCCTGTATTTCAGATGGTCTGATGTGTCTATTGTTTTCATTCATTTAATGGTAAAACAAATCAGCTGAAAAATATAAGCCCAATATTTATTTCGTACATTCTCATTCACGGACTTCAACAAACTAAAACCAGTGAAGAAATATATAGAAATATATTGGCATAAGATGCAGTGAGCAAAGTGGGCTCAAATGAAATTTCTGTCTCCATGTGGCTTAGTCTTTAAAAAAACCTAGTCAAACTATAGCTCCCAGATTTCCTGGCCAGCACAGGCAGTGATCATGTTAGTTAGGGACTTCTGAACACTGAGTCCATTACATCTGGAGGTCAGCAGATTGGGAAAAGGCTGTCCTAGATACTCGACCCAATTCAGTTATATGTGCAAATATACACATTCATATGTGCACTCTAGTTAGATTACTACTGGAAATACTAATGAATAGTTGGCAGATAAGACAAAATGGAGGGATTAAATCATTTGGAGATGACTAATAAGTGATATCACAGATCTTCTAAGATTACACGTGAAGCTCCAGTTGTAGGATTTGGTTAGGGACAATGTGCGCGTGCTTAACATCCATTTAGTTCCTCTTTCAGTTACACCAGCATGTTCTCTTGTTCTCTATTTTAATTCCCACTGAACTGTTTGATTCAGGATGCATTTTATGCTGCAGGCTTTGCAGTAAAACAACAAAAAGTTGTTTTAAGCTTTTAACCTGTTTTTATGATACTGAACTAGCTTAAGATTTCAGCTCTGAAAAATGGCATAAGGAATAAATCAATATTTTTATCAATCCTCCTTGATTCAATTGGATTATGACATTTTTTTGGTAACCATTTGTCCTAGAACCCAGCTCAGCTCAAGTGAAATATACAATACAGCCAAAAAAGAGTGGGCTTATGTGTGAAAAAGATTCCAACTTGGCCTGAAAGATGCAGTAAACTTAAAAGATATTTTTGCCTTGATGGTGACAGCACATCCTGCTTAGAGGGAGTAATAATGTACGTGAAATGAGGGAACATATGTTCTGAAAAATTTACAGCACTGATCTCCTTATGTAGTTTCCTGGGCCTTTTGCCTAGCTTCAACTTTACAAGGTAGAAAACAAATACAAGCCCTCACACAGCAGCTTTTTGTTTCAAGACCAAAAGTGTAAAGAGCCATGAAGACACCTGCTGGGAGAAGATAAATCAAAGAATTAGACTGTAATTAAAGTACCAGTTTTCTCCAGTGTACCAGTATGAGGAGAAACAACTTTGAGAAATTCCCAGAGGTTTAAGCCAGTGAATTCTCATGCGGATCAACACTGTAGAGCTTGTTCGTTCCAGTGGAAAGCCTTGTGTGCACTCCTCCATATGTGCAATAAAATGGATCCTCAGTACTGTTGCAAATGGCTTAATAGAGGTGTTTACCTTCTGTGACTTGCTGTAATTAAGTTTTGTTGACCTTCAGAAAACAATGCAAGTTTTTTTTTTTTTAAGTAATCGCCTTAGGGTTTTTTTGGAGCCTGCAGTGACTCATAGTTTTTTGGAAGGCCAAAACATTTAAACTGTCTTAAAATATCATGCAAACAACTATGAAAGACAGCAGCAAAGTTTAACAAAATCTCTTTTTGCAAGGTAATCTTAATCAACCTTTGAAAAGTGGCAGAGATAGAGGCCACCTTACTAAGAAGTTCCCCAAGGAGGGCACTTCTACTGGGAACACCCTGGTCTTTGTGGCCACTTGCCTATGAAAAAAATATGAGAACGGGAAATAAGTATTTTTCATTTTTGATTCAAAATCTAAGGCAGTGCTTCTCAACCTTGGTAACTTTAAGATATGTGGACTTCAGCTCCCAGAATTCCCCAGCCAGCATGGAAGTTGAAGTCCACATATCTTAAAGTTGCCAAGATTGAGAAACACTGATCTAAGGTACAGAGGAACAGAGAGGACGAGGTATTCTTTCCAAATATGTAAAACTGGCTGGGTGACTTTGGGTCAATCTCTCTCTCTCAGCCCAACCCACTTCACTGAGTTGCAGAGGTGAAAATAGGAGGCAGGAATATTAGATAAGTTCATCACCTTGAGTTATATATAAAAAGGTGGGATAGAAATATAAGAATAATTATTTATTGTATTCCATGCCTGAAAGCCTCTGACACCTATTATTAGTATCAGAGGCTTTGAGGCATGGAACACAATACAAGCACTATGAATTAACTATTCAAGCAGGGCACTATCAACATATGGGTGCGGTGGCCTGAACAGGAATTTGTGTTCCTTGTATTCTCCTTTGATCCACCTTTATCCCCCAAAGGATTAAAGAGATAGGCAATGCTATCCGTACGCCGCCCAGAGTCACTTTATGTGAGACGGGCAGCTATATAAATATAAATATATAAATAAAATGCTTTGTTGAAAGGAATTCACCAGCAAGAAATTGCCCTAATAGAAACAAGCTCACCTCACGATATATTTCGGTTCCTACACTCTTAAGCTTTGCATGAGCTGAGGGTCGCATTGCATCCATGGCAACTCCAGTGAGACCTGCTTTTTTCTTTTTCTCTAGAGCCACGTACAATTGGTACACGAGTTTGATAGCAGCTCCATGCTGCTCTGTCATGATGTTTCGGGCTACATTTTGGTCAAACTGTACACCCAGAAGTTGAAGGGTGGGCTCCATGCGAGAAAAGTTGTTAAGTTTTGCATTGGCAAGCCTGCAGATACAATATGCGAACTGTAAATATGTAGAATATGTAAAACCTTCTTGTCAGCTCCCCTGAAAGCCTAACACCCTTCAGTAAGCCTCATGTGGTATAGTGGCAATGGAGCTAAGCAAAGTCAGAGCTCATAAAAATGCCTGGCTGAATTCAGCTTTAATCCCACTAAAATCACCGGTCCTTAACTGAGTCTTAATTAACACGTCACGTTGATTTCAATGCAAATTAAACCTGACATGGTGAACCACACTGGATATATAAATAAGTCTTAGGTTAAATCAAACTTCGAAGCCATCTAGACCAATATTATCTATTCTGACTGGACACAGCTCTTATTTGTTGTGTAGTCCTTTCTGACTCTTCATGACTCAATGAACATCATTTTGTTTGGACTGACTGTCAGTAACAAACTCTTTAAGTTTCCAATAAAAATAAAAATCCTTTTGTAGCCCTGTTTTCCAAGGTCCTTTTTAACTGGAGATGCCAGAAACTGGGTCCTTCTGTATGCAAAGCAAGTGCTCGATAACTCATCTACAGAATGCATCTCAATTGCTTATACAATCCACTGGAGTTTGACAAGTTTACTTCATGAGATTGGCAACATGAAAGTCCCAGTTTTATAGCCCTTGAAACATATACTATGACTTTGACTGCTTTAGATAGCATATGCACAGCATGATTGCATGCCCGCTTACCTTCTCTGCTCTTTCCAATGAGGAATTCTTAACTTCTTGACACTGCAAACGAACTATAACCATCATGAAAAACATAGTACAGGTAGTCCCCAGTTTAAGAATGAGTTCCGTTCCCAAGGTCTGTCCTTAAATTGAATTTGTATGTAAGCCGGAACAGTATTATTGCATAATACTGTATAAGTAGTATTGTGTAATAAACTCAAACCATTGTGTATTTAAATTTTGCTACAATAGCCTCTGTTCTTAACTATGGGTCGTCCTTAAACTGGGCGTTCTTAACCCAGGGACTATCTGTATTTTGCTTTTCCTGCTAAAATATGATTTAGGGAGGGATAAGAAACCTGCTCACCTCCTGATATGGCTAAACTAAAACTCCAAATGTTGTTCATGATTGATTACTTTGGTTGGGGCTACTGGGCCTGTAATTCAGTAGCATCCGTAGAGCAAAGGTTTCATCCATAACTTAGAAAGACTTGCATGAATGGAAAGAAATCATCATGAGTCTTGAATTCACATGTTGATTCCCTCTTCTTTCTTACTTCCACATGTTCAGAAGGACTTAGAAGCATTTAGTTTCATTTTTTTTTTAAGTCAGCCTGTTATATTGTCCATATCAGGGAATATATTTGCAACAATTCTGGTTGGTTTAACAAGATAGCTTCAGATACCACAATTTAAGTTGGCTTGTTTGAAACTGGCTCAACTAAGTGGCAGCTCCTAGCCAAATATACTTAAAAAGCTAGGTAGGATTAGACTTGGTCACTGTTTGGAGTGGACTGGATTACCAAGAAATACTAAATTTGTAAACTAGAATAATTAAAAAAAAAAAATCCCAGAAGGCAGTACCAAACCAATGTTGTATTGTTGCCATGAAAATTACATGAACATCTCCATGTAGTCACCAGGAGTCTAGTGTGACTCAAAGGGATTTTACCACTATTATATCATGATTTATTTACATACCATGAACTTGGTCATCAAGTCCAAGGCCCATCAAGATCACTGTTCTATAGCTCCCAGCTAATACATATGGGAATCTAAAAGCAGATCAGAATCTTGCCGGTGTATCCAAAGTCACATAAGCTAGTTATATGGTGACACAATAGGCCAAGTTTTGGGGGGAAGAGCTATGAAGTCCTTTGCTAGGATTTGATGAAGAAGGAGAAGGAAGAGAAGTGCTTGCAAACCTTACAGCAGTTTCTTCTCACTAGTGAACATCTTGTTAATCTATGACTTAGTATAATATGAAAACTAGTATATTCAGAAACTGCAAACTAAAATTGTGAAATGCAAATCATCATCTTGCTATTGGGCCTAACATCAGAAATTAGCATTGTCAAGCACCTCCTGAATTCCATAACTGAATCCAGCCTCTCTTTGATCTTCATGCTGTCCTTCTTACTGGGGCTGCTTGTTCACCTGATGTCTCCAAGCAAGCAATGACAAGAATAGGAAGAGTAGCAATCTCTACTCTTTTTGCATTCTTCCTTTACATATTGATATAGACTGCTCTCAGAGCACGGGAGAATTCAGTGCCTTCCAGAGGTTAGTAAGCTATGAGCTCTGCCACCCTATCCAAAACTGCCAATGTAGAGTTTATCTGCCCTGCATCACTCTCACCAAAAATGGCTTGTAAAGTCAATCTCTCCAGTGCAGAGGCAAAGGACTGGAGACAGTTCAAGAAAGTGTTTCCTTTCAAAGCAGAAGCATCTGGATGGAAAAGAAGCACATTTCTGGCTTGTGGGTCCCTAGCAGACCACAGCCATCTCTATAAGAGTTCTGGGGACATGAGTAGAAACAGAACATTCTTCTGTAACTTTTAGCAACCATTGGTCATTCTGGCTATGGATGCTACATTGGTCATTGCAGTTCAGGAAAGTTGGGCAGGACAGCGCACAGTCCTCTCCTGTCTCAGTGGGAAACTGACTAGGCAATGGCAAACATGGGAATGAGGGACGGATTCTATATAAAAAGTGGGAGGGGGAATTGCCCAAATTCCCATCCTGCTCTCCAATACAAGGAAGTGTCAATTGAACCTACTGTAGCTTGGCTATGATATAGTATAAATCAGAACACTGTTAAGCAGTATTAATACTACCCACCTGCTTTGTGAAAACTGGTCAAAATCTTCCTGAAGTTCATACTTGTTTAGAAGTTCTCCAATGAGATAACCAGAAGAAAATTCTCTGGAGAAAGACTCTGAATCTGATTTAATTTCCAAAGGAAAAAAGAAAGTATTTTATTTTAAGTTGCAGCTCTTTGCATTTGATACATTATCCATTGTTATCATGATACATCTTAGCCCAATTTATTTTTAATGGATCTGTATAGCTTGGTTGATGTTTTTATTTCTGTTCGCTGTCTAGATGGGCAGCTATATGCATTTGTTAAATAAATAAATAAATAAAATATAGTTCCTGTTCATCAATAAAGGCTGGTTCATTTGTGACCATATTGACAAAGAAGCAGCTTTCTTTGAGCCTTCTTCCAATAGATTTGTGGAAATATCAAAGTGAAGAAGTGTATTATGCATTCTCTAGCATGAGATAAATTGCATAATCTATCTCACCAACATACTTTCTCAACATCTAAATGAAGCCTACATTTAACTCTCCAATTTATCCTTTTAGCCCAGGTTGCAAAAAGTGCAACCTGGAGTGTTGAGTACCAACTACAACATATCCCAGGTCCCACATCTCCCCAACTCTTCTTCCCTCTCCCCATCCGCTGCTGCATGTCCCATTCATTCTCCACTAGCTTTTCTTACCCTCACTTCTCCAAATCTGCCCAGCCCCATTTTGACCTACTGAAATACTACAGCTTCTCCATCCCTTCCAAAAGGGAAAAAATAGAACTGGTAACATCATATATGATAGTATGACACTGAGATTCTGATTCATAGCTATTTCCCTTTTGGAAAAGAACAAAGGAATAAGTTGCTTCTTCTGTTTAATTAAAAAAAGAAGCACTATTTGTCTCCTTACTTGAGGAGATTGTGAAGCACAATCTTAGTGTCACAGCACCGTCAACTGAAGAAAAATGCTAGAAGTTTTTTAAAAATGCTATTATACAGGTGCACCAAAATCAGACAATTTATTATATAAATTATATTAAATGTTGAATTGGTTGCCATTTTCTTCTAAACACTTCCTTACTTATTTGACACATTATCTTTTAACATTCCTAAGTACAGTAACATTTTCTCTGGAAAAAAATATTGACACAAAAATATTGTCAATATTAGTTGTGGCTGGCCTATGGGGCCTGACTTTTGGTACACCCTGTATATCTCCTCCCAAAATAAAAGTTAATAATAAAAATAGCAATGTTAAATAAATATGAATTATTAAAATAACATTAAGATAATACAAACAAATAATAAACAAAAAACCATGGAGTATGGAGCGTAGCCTTCAGAATGTGGCAGAAATCCTCAAGCAAACAGAATTGTGTATTGAGGATTATCTACTGTACTTGGCTACTCTGTTTGTTCAGCAAAGGTTACAGTTGGCTCTCTAAGAGCCTATGGATAGAACAGAAGGTAGTATTCAAAATAATAAATACTGTGTAGGAAGAACCACCAAGGAAACAATTGCCACCTCAATCCATTAGTATATGACTTGGCCCTAAAAAAGGGATGGGTGACCTGTAGCCCCAGGGCATCACGTAACTTCTAATCCTAATTTTTCAGCCCAGGAGCAAAATCTGATTCTAAGTGGTACAAATACTAAAAATCAGTGGTACAGCTTCTTGCAGGTTTGAACAAACAAACAAAGGGAAATTATAGCATAAGCCAGAAGGGAGCTTAACATCAGTAAAACAAAGAACCTTTCCCAAAACAAAACAAAAAATCACTGCCCTGTCAGCTAAAGTGAGTAGAACAATGGTTCTTCTGCTTCTCATTAGGAGGATTTTGTCTCCGGTGTGGGTGAAACTCTGCTCTGGAGGGAAAGCATTTGTAGCTAAAACATTAGGAACTATGGAATAAACAGATACCTACAAGGATTGCTTGCCCTCTGGAGTCCTTATTAATTGAGAGAATTTAACCACAGTGCATCCCTTGAATCTACAAAAGCATCCTGGGTGATGAAAATCCTTCCCTTGTTTTGTCTTATGGGAATTTCAGATATGTAAATGGATTCCTCAGAAGGAACATCTATCAAACGGTTTTCATGTAAGAAGCCTTGTGTTCAAACTCTTGTAGACAACTGTCTCCTTAAGTCAGGAGTGTGAAAATTGTGGCCTCCCAGCAATTCTCCTGTGTACCCAGATTGTTCCCCATCCCTCAAAGTGGGCAGGACTGAAATGGGTGCCTTAAGACTTGTAGATTTTAGGCCAAATGGGTGACATTAGCAGCATTTTCACTCTTTACAAACCTTCTCAGTCAGGGCCACTTTGAGTCTTCATCCCACTCACTTTTGATGTACAGCCTTCAACATACCACATAAAGCCCTGAAGCTAATGGAATCTGTACACCCATGATTCAACACTCAAGCACAGACTTACTCAAAACAGGAACTACAAAAACAAACACACTGAACAGGCATTTGCAGTCTTCTGGAAAAAGTTCAATGTCAAGTAACTCAAGGCCATCTTAAGCATTAAGCAACACACAAATTATGCAACTCACATTAATTCAGGGTTACCAAAAGAGGGGATGCCACGCCTGCCATACAATTTTTAGAGGTTTTAGTCAAGTAACTGTATGGACTACAATCTGCAGACATTTGTACACAAATAAAAAATACCTCCAAGGAAAAACAATCATTATCTTTTTAGATTATGCTTAGAAGTGTTATAGCAGATACTGTCTGAAAAATTTTCCTGTGCAAAGGAATGGAAGAACATGTCTCCCACTCATATTTTTGCAAGATTGCACAAAAAACATTTCTAAAAGATCGTCTTGATTAATCTCTTGGTAAATGCGTAGGAGGCCAATTACAACTCTACCTGGACCAGATGTCTGACCTACTTCTTAACAAACCTGAATCTCAAATATATTTTTCACCATTTGGTGGAGAAAATATTGTGGTGTTTGCTTGACTTGTGAGAGACTAAGCTGAAGCTGCCATAACTAAAGATGAAGCAGGAAGGTAAGTAGAGAGGACAAAAAAGCCAGGAACCTTGTCTAAGAGACCCTTTCAGGGAAGTAGATAAGAAGGAAACAAGTCATTAAGGAAACAAAGGAAAATATCACCTGAACCAGACAAAGGAAGTTGGGCCTGAGCACATGAAACTCTCCCCACCCAATTCCATCAACAGCTACCAGACTTGTAAATTAACAAGGCAAGAATAGCTGCCAATCTTGTGAATCAACAAAGCAAGGACTTTTGAGGATAAAAGGGGTCCTGAAGCCTGCCCACTCTTTGAGTCATCTTTGGATCCAGACTTGGCAGCTTCCACCCCTCTAGCTAGTGCCTGGCAGCCTAGTTGAGAAGGACATGGCTAAGTGTGGATAACTGTGTGTGTACGTGTGTGAGAAAGCGCAAATGTACATTGTAACCAGTACAGTTTTGCTGTTACTTTAAATTCAGTGGGTATCCATGTATTCCAAAGAACTTGTTGTGCCTCAGTGTTTGGTTGGAAGTAATTTGTGTGTGCCCCTAATTATTTCCCAGCAGTTGACCAGGGCCGCATGTCTTGTCTGCTCTAGCCTCTCTATCTGGAAAACCCAGGTAGAAAGCAAGGGGAGCTTACAAGAGCCATGTGCCTCAACAGGCTGTGAGTGTGTGAGTGAGTGACCGTAAGCCAAACCTGGGAGTGCCTTCAACACTTGATCTTTAGATAGGTTCCTATGGAACTTGGAACATCAGCTGGCAGCTGCTACTCACGAAACATTATGCTATCTCAGCATCAGGCCCAGCCCAAGAACAACAGAGAAACAGTCCAGCCAAGTACAGTTCTTTTATTGCTTACACCATATACACAGAATCTTGCCAGACTAAATCTGCATTACTCTAACCTAGTAGATATACCCTGGGAGATTCTAGGGAGTGGCTATCCTGAATCTCTTCCTCTTCCCACGATCCAGCTCTGGACTTTGTTGTCTCTTGTCTCACCCACTCTTCCTGGAATGTGCTCCATCCTTCCTGAGAACCTGCTGCGTTACTATATTCCATCACACTCAGTGCAGTTTAGATGTAGCACCAAAAGAAGTGTGTTCCTGTTCTGAAAAGTGTTAAATAAGAACAGATTCTGGTTCCCTTCTTTAACATTTATGATGATTCTAAGCTGGTAACAATAACTAAAGTCACTGGGAGTCGGGCAGCATATAAATTTAATAAATTATTATTATTAATTTTATTACAGTGGCATTTCTTCTTCCAAATTTGGTCACCCATCAACAGCAGGGCTTTTATATGTCAACAACTCCAGCTGGATTGAGAAGGAGGCTCAAGTATAGTATAATATAGAGTTGGAAGAAAATCCAACTCTATGTTATACTAAAACAAAGGTCATGTTCTTCACTAAGATGTCTACAAGCCACAACAGATAGCTAATGATAAGTCACAATGTGAGAGGGGATAGATATTGCAAATTGCTTCAGGCTGTTTTTCAAACTTTGAACCCCTGAAAAGAGCAATCCCAATCTATTTCAGATTATACACACAAGAGTACTAGAATCATTTGAGCTTTTTTTTTTTCCGACTAAAGGTAGCAATTTATGCAAGCCGCCCACAAGGTCTTCAAAGGCATGGGTCTGAAGGCTGTAACTATAAAGGCTAGACTGCTAGGAGACAGCCAGTCACAGTAGAGATGCTCCTTGATGCATCTCTAATATGTTGCTATGTGCAGAATCTGGGATGGCCTCTCAGGAGGCCCATGTGTGAATTTGTTGCCTCAATTACTGTCTAAAGCTAATAAGCTAATTCTCTTTGTTGGATCTCTGTTTTAGTTTTGCAGGAAGATTTTGTCTCATCCTGGAGGAAGTTGAGGAAGAGATCAAATAAAATTGATTTCTGACAGCATGGGATCTCCAACCAATAGCTGATTGCCCTCAGTCTCAAGACAGGTAAAGCAGAGGTTAGGCAACAGATGAAGGACTTATGGGAATCAGATCTCCAGAAAGACACAGTCTTGGACATGTGCCTGAGTCAAAGCCTGCAAGATGGCAGGCAGGGTGTCATGTTATAATCCTCTTTTTCTATGTAGATATGATGTCACTACACATACAAAAGGGCTATGGCTTCAAATGCTATGTCACAGTTGCATCTTGAAGATTTTGACCTCCCTTCCTCTCCCACAGATGCTGAGACTCTTTTTGTAGCTTCCTGCCAAGCCTTACACAGCTTGGCAAGAACTCCACAAATTCAGTAAAATATCATTAATGCCAGTCTTGGATAAATCCAGAATCTTGGAAATAGTAAGAGAAATGTCCAAAGCTTGTCTGTAGTAAGTTCTTTAAGGTGGAGTGTCTTTGAATGACTTCAAATATTTCTTCTGATGATTCTTTTCAACTGGGCTAAGTTGCAGTTCATGAGATAAGCTGTCAACTGATTCTTCCCTCACCTCTTGATTATTTATGCCTACTCTCTCTTCCATTCTTTTCCCAGCCTTGGATAAGGATATCCCCACAATCTTTCACAGTCCTGTCTCAGGTTAGGGACTGAAAGGAGGAGTTTTACACCTGCTAAATATTTGTATAATATCACCTACTGTACCCCAATAAGCTTTCTTGTGGCTCAACTTCATGCTGAACTCACAATGCATTTGGAAGAGAAATATGACAGCATCACTAAATCCAAGCAAGTTTGCCCTTACGAAGTAGGAGAAACCAAATTAATGGCAGATGTATTATTGCAGTGCCCCCTTTTTATGGATTACTACTTCAAACTTACAATAACCCTTCTTTAAATAAGTTACAGAAAGCCAGAAGAAGATTACATTCTTTACTTACTATCTGACACATTCATGGAATGTGCACAGTGCACATTCACTGCAAAGATAGCAAAATTCTGTTCCATTGACATCTTGTGCTATCAGTTGCTAAGACTAAATTGATAGGTTTCTGATTAATTTGATGCCTTCTGGGATAGGGCAGGAATTATACAAAGCTTTTTTTTTTATAAGCTATATTACCACCAAATCCGCTAAAGGTGTAAGGTTTCTAAATGCCAATCTAGAACAGAAGCTTTGGGTCCACTGGATATCTGAAAATCGCTGAGGCCAGCCATTCACAAAACGGTGGGGCCACAACACCTTTCTTATTTGTTCTAATATCACAAACAGAAACATAATCTGATTTTATGCAAGTAAGATTTTATTTTAGCAATAATAATAAACAAATCCCACCCCTGTAATCTATGCCTAAGCCCCTCAACACATCTGCTCTCTCATTACCTGCTTAGAGGCCAGTAGTTGTAGAAAAGTGGTTCTAAGATGCACTTGGAGCTATCCAAAACGTATCTTATTCCTTCTATCCTGCTGCTTTGCCTTCCCCATGCTGGTTTCCAACATGCAAACAAGCCTTAACTTTTCACTTATATTCATTACATTTGCAACGTTTTCAGCTTCCTTACAGATTTCTACATTGTACCGATGTCTAAGGTCTTCTGGAAATAGTGTGATGGACACCACAGAAGTATTATGAAAATCTCTGCTCAACAGAGAAAACAGTATCAGGAGATATTATTAGCACCTGGTGGCTTTTAGTTCAGTATCTTGGTGCATAACAAAAAATTCCCCTCTACTCTACCATCCAGAAGCACAGCTTCTAGGGGAATTCAGTGCTACAAGAAACATGTTGCTTACTGTTGCCTCTACATTTCTTCTAATCCAAAGTGCATTTCCTATAGATGACCCCCTTTTTATTTTCCCAATTCCAGATCTACTTTCTACACTGCTTAACATACTGTATTACCATCTCTCATAAATAGGGTGATCACAGACTACTAGTCTATTTAGCTCAGTATTATCTCTTCTGGGTCTGAGGTAGAAAAACAGCTTTCCTATCGCCTCCTGGAGATGTCATGGATTAAATCTGGGCATTTCGGTGTGCAAATTCCAATTTACTGGAGTTGCTTCCCTGGCTTAATTGCAATGATAAATTCAATTATATTTGAAGCCTTCTTTATATAATTGTTTCTTCCACTTCAGGGATAATTATAAAAATAATTTATTTCTTACGTGCCTTTACTTATCTTAGTAGAAGCAAAATAAGCAGCCATAAATGCCACCTAGATCAGGGTCCCTATATTTGGGAGGCTACTGGAAATTTAGTAACTGTTGTGGGTGCTCTTGCAAAACAGTGGCTGGGGAGTCTTGTCATACCTAATTTACAAAGCACCTATTTCAAATAATGTTCCTTGCTTGTCTCCTCTAATCTGTCCTCTTGCACTGTATCCCTGCACTTTGGATTCAAAAGCAAAAAGATATTTTGGAGACCATAGGGACAGGAATGTTGCACCCATTTGCAATTCTTTAAAGCAGCTGCATCTTTTCCTGGAATTATGCAGCTGCCGTTTTTCCCCAGAAAAAGCCATCTTTGATTTAAAGAATTGTGGACAAGTGCATCCCTATGCCCTAAACCAATGCATGGCCCTACGCTTATTTTATCTGCTTTTGTGGAGTCCTTGGTGTTCTCTGAGCTTGGTCGTTTTCTTGCAGACATTTCGTTACCTGACTAGGTAACATCTTCAGTGCTAGAAGGGAGTGGGGTTTGCTCTTTGTTTATATAAAGTAGCTTGCCCTGTCAGTGTTGGTGGGGGTCTTGTTTTCTGTTTTTTCCAGATAGGTGGACACACTTCCAAACAAAGCATTGGCTGAAGATCTTTTTCATGTTCCAGGAAAGTTCAGGAATGATGATTCTGACGGATGGTGCTTTGCTTTGCGGCAAGTCAGCTTACTGGGTTTTTTTCTTTTCTTTTTAAGTCTAAATATATTTTGAAGAATATAAAAATGCAGGTGGACTAGATAAATTGCCAAGCAGCTAAGGAGGCATCTACAGGCACATTGGCCTCTGGGTGGTACATTGGGGACCCCAGGTCTCAGATAATTGGTAGAGCATATAGAGATCCAATAGCCATCAAATGACACCCCCCTCTTTTTAACAGTGGATATTTGGCTCTTTATGCCTTAATCACCCTTCTCAGAGAACCTGTTCTGCAACTGCAGGGACCCTACCAACATAGTCAACATGAACAGCTTGTAGAAAAAGCTATCACATGAGCTTACAGGTAGGACTGAAAAAACAATTATTTTAAATAATCAGAAAACACAGAGTAACTGTGTGGAAACATGGTCCAATATTTTTGCTTTCATAAAGCATTACTGTACTGCTAAAAATGGTTTTCAATTCTAAGGTATTTCTAATGTACTGCTTTTAAATACATTTTGCTCAGAATTCAGTCACCAGAGGTGAGTACTTCAAATTCAAAAGTTTCCAAGAGCCTAATTCCAACACCTAAAATCTATCTATGCAGCTTCTAGGAGTTAAAAATGACTTGATGGCACACAATTCCAACACTGCAAATGTGCACAGCTTTCTTCTCAAATGCCGCCCATATGATTTTCTAATCAAAGTTATTAATTTTTATCTACCGCTGCTGATCTTGGAAAAGCAGGCAGAAATGTCAGCCCAGGCACTTATTTTCCAGGGCTGTGGCAGAGCAAACACCAGAGACAGCATGATGGTGCTCGCAGCGCCTCTGAGCATATATAAAATACCATGCACTTTGTGCTTTCTCCCATCCTGAATGGACGGAAGTCGGTTTCAGGGGCAAAAGGCACGATTTGTTTTCAGACAAGCTGAAACAAGCGTGAGATGTTCCTTCCTGCTAAGGTGCTTGCGGGGGACAAGGGGGTGGGGGGACGCCCCTCGCCTCGAGCCTCCAGGCAATGGCACCCCGCTTCCTCCACCTCTTCTTGGACTCACCCACTGTCCGCGAGAGCTTTACTTCCCGATTCAGCCAATCGCACAGAATGCCAGTCATGGCCGCGAGCGGCCGCAGCTCGCGCCCTCTCCCCGCCTGGATGGAGACCGGCTCGAGCCACGCTCCGCGTCCCGTCACCACGGCAACCAGCCCTTTCGCGCCAGCACGGCTAAGACGCGGCAGAGCGCGGCCCGACAAGCCGTACCGAGAGAATGATGTGCGCTTGCGCAGAAGAGTCAAATTGGTTGTGCCGGGCAGGGAGAGGTAATGAAGGTCCTGCCGAGAAGACGGGGAAAGCGCGCAGTTTGTCGGTGAGCGCATGCGCAGGTTAGAAACTTTACTGTACCTCAGCGAGTTATTCCAAATCGGTTTGGGAAGGGCGGTCGTCGATTTTAATCCCGGTGCACGAAACATCTTTTAACTTCAGAATAATCCTGCAGTTGCTACATGCCCTCCCCTCCCCCACCTCCTTTGCTTTGAAAAGTTGCGGGGCAGGTGGAAATTTGTATCCCCCGCAGTTCCATGAAGCTATATAATAGAAAAGTTGAATCTCTTACTATGCTGTTAAAGCGAACTCAACCCCTGAACAAGGAGAACCGATGCTTCACTTTACAGCATCCAAGCCTTTTTTTTAAATACATGGAAGTATTTCTTTCACTTTGAAGAAGCAGTTTCCTGTGTAAGAATTTCAGCCCCACCCTTCTAAGAGATTGCATCTATTTAAATATTTATATCAACAATATAAGGGAATCCCTGACAAATACGTTGGGTGCAGACAAGGACCTTGCTGAATGTTTATTATTATCCGGGCAGGTACAGGGCTTTAGATTCGGCTCTTATTTGTTAGATTTTTTAAAATTTATTTATTAGATTTGTCCCCCATTTATATTTAAAATTTATATCCAATCTGTCCTCTGGGAGTTCAAGGTGCCCACCTGTATCCCTCTTCTAATTTGTCCAGACAGTCTTCTTGGGAGAGAGAGACTGGCCCAGAGTCAGCTAATGAGTTTCTGTGGCCAAATGCAGTTCCACCTTGATCTTTCTTAGCTTGTAGTTCAGCTCCTGATCCTACACCATTACTCGCTTTAGAAAGCAGTCTCTGCACTTGTTGGTGCTACATAGGCCTCTTCCTAGTTATCTGTGGGTGGAGGGTGTGAACTGTAGTGAAGGAGAGAAATCTCTTCCAAATCATCAGATTTGAAACAGTGAATTGGTCAACCTAGAGACTGGATGGAGTCCTGCAAAGTCAGGGAAACTCAAACTCTATGCCAGCAACCAACCAGGAGTGGGTTTTTCCCTTTTTGGGGAAAAGCAGCAAACAACAGCCTAATCAAGGAACTACCAAGGAGAAAACAACACCTCCACCAACGCTGACAAGGCAAGCTGCTGTATATAAACAGAGCAAACCCCACTCCCTTCTAGCACTGAAGATGTTACCTAGCCGGGTAACGAAACCTCTGCAAGCAAACAGCCAAGCTCAGAGAACACCAAGGACTCCACAGTAAAAACTGTTCTTATGGTTGAGCATTTTATAAAAGCATGACTCAGTATAGAAGTCTTATTATTCATATGTACTTTGCCTCAGGCCTTAATATTTGTGACTAAATCTAAGACCAGTCCTTAAAACAGTTAAATCAGTTATGCATTTACAGCTTCATACACAGTATTGAGATCCAGTTGTAAAATCCAATCTTGCACAGGGGGACATGTGATGGGGCATTTTCCTCCCTCCTCTGTGCATCCTCAGAAACTACACTGAAAGCTTGGGGACTTTGGAAACAGATTCTGAGATATTCTGGGGACTGTGACAGGAATTATCAGCTACCATCAGCAGAGTCATACCATGGGATTTATTTTTATATTTGAATTCCCTTTGCAGAATGTGTGCAAAATTTATATTGCACGGCTGTTGGTAAAGGCTGTAATGAAATCCAGGTTGAATGATAACCTCAGTTATTTTGCACAGTAATTGGTGCTGATCCAAATATAGATCTGGAGTTCACTAATAATTTGACATAAGTTCCAGCTCTATCAGGTTGGCTGACCATACAGAATACTATATATTCTATTTGAGGACCAGATTGTGCTATGTAAAACTACACTTTGATAATGCATTTATCAAATGTTGATAATGCATTTTCAAAACATGCTTTCCAACTGATCATTTTATACTTTGAGGGGGAAAAAAACCAACTATGGGCACTCACCTGGAACATGCTCTGAATTCAGACTGAGGATGTAGCTTCAACTGAATAGTAGCAGGAGGTGCTTTTTTAAAGATTCATCTCCAAAGGTGTTCTGGAAACAAAAGCATCAGAACAAATGGTGACCTGGTGCAGTAGTCTTATAGTTCCGTCATTCAGTTGCTGGTAAGCTTGCCATGATAGTAGATACTTACCTTACTTTCTGTCAACTTCTTTTTCAATTGTCTTCAGCTCTTCCAGGTGTCTTCTACAGGACTTTTCCTTTTATGTTATTTGTCCAAAATATTTCAGCTTTAGTTTCATCATTTAATGCTTCTCATACACTGTTTAGTTGTATTTAATTATTTGTTTTTCTTGCTGTCCAACCTATTCCCCACAGTTTTCTCCAGCACTCTTAAGACATCATTGTTTTCTTCTTTCAGGCATTCAGATGATTAAGCCTTTCAAACCATATTACAGTGGCTTAACAATATATCCCTTTATGTTAATGTGATGTCTTTTCACTTAATCTGACATAATCTGTTTCCACCACAGTCTTTTTCAAAATAACAGATGTCTTTATTTCATGACCACGGTCAAAATCCCTGTGAATTTTTTTAGCTTAGGAAAATAAAGCCTATTTCTGCTTCTCTGCCAGTTTGTATTGGGCTGGCATTTCCTGTTGACATAATCTTAGTTTTATTAATATTGAGCAGCAAAATGGCTTTTGTAATCTTTTCTTTCACCTTCAGCCAGAGATTCCTTAAGTCTTCCTCACTTCAGCCATGAAGCATGAAAAGCACGTCTGAGGCTGCTGATTTTTTGCAACTTCTTCTACTCCAGAATGATTTCTTCTGCATATCAGTTAAATCTTGGCATATTTATTTTCCAGTTTGTTACTCCATATTCCATTCTAACTCCGTATTACTTTGCTTTCTGGTCAACATGCACATTTTTAAATAGGCAGATAAGGTGGACTTTATGGGCTCACCCATGTTTTAAGGATTATTCATTTTTTCTTGTTGTATAAAAAGTCAAAAGCATTAGTATAATCAATAAAGCAAAAATAGATGTCATTTTGGAACTCCACGTCCTTCTCCATGATCCATCAGATGTGCTCTGTGCTCTCAAGTGCCCCTGCCTCCCTGGAATCCAGCATGTATATCTGGCATTTCTCATCCCATGTATTGTTGAAGTTTGGATTGCAAAATCATGAGCATTATCTTAATAGCATATGGGGGTAAGTGTAATTGTTTGATAGTTTGAGCACTCTTTGGCACTTCTTTCATTTGATACTGGAATATAAATTACCGTATGGATCAGTAATCTCAGTAAAGAATGTGAGTGTGTGTATGAATATAAATTGCTCTTGGCATTACTATGTTTTCTTTTTCTGCTTACAGACTGAATGTATCACTTTAATTGAATAATCTTTTAGAATTGTAAACAATTCTGTTGATATTTCATCAACTACAACTTTGTTATTAGCAAATATTTTCTAGGGCCTGTTTTACTTCATTTTCTAGAATGTCTGCTTCCAGTTAAATGACCAAACCTTCACTGTAGTTTATAGAAGCCTTAACTGGTTTTTATATTATTGCTTTTTATCATACCCTGCCCAGAATCACATTCTGTGAGATGAGCAGCTATGTAAATATGATGAATAAATAAATAAATTATGTATAATTAATTTGGGGATCTTTTCTGTACAGTTCATCCAGAGTTGCATCATTTCTTTTTGTATCTTCTTTCTCCAATAGTTCTTTGCCTTCTGTGTTGTTTTATTGTATCCATCTTTGCACACAATATTGCAGTAATTTGCGTGATTTTCTTAAATAAATCTCTTGTCCTTCCCATTTGCTCATTATCCTTAATTTTTCGCTTTGACTTTTTTGCACTGATAGAACTGCTTTTCTCTTCTTGTATCTCCCTCACTGTTTACTTGGGCAGATCTTCCTGTCTCAGTCGCCTTTTTCTTTCCAACTTTCTTCCACTATTTTCAGCTTATTGACAGATAGCCACTTCACTTACTTTTGCTTTTTGCATTTCAGCATCATTTTGTTTGCTTCATCTTTAATGATACCATGAATGTCAATCCAGAGTTCAGTATGTAGCCAGCTTCAGTGTGTTTTAAAAGGGCATGAAAAATAATATTTTATATTAAATTATTATGGTTGGTCACATAATCAGCCAACCATAATTGTTTAGATGGATCTGGCATTTTTATTCACCTATCGAGTCCTTCCCAAGGACCCGGGATAGGCAGA